TGTTTACAGTGTGTTTGGTGCTGTTATCTGCAGGATAATGGCTGATTTTGATGCGGGGCAGTGAAAGCCGAAAGGAAGCTGTCTCACTTATGCCGCCTTATCTTTGCATGATAGCCAGATGTTTGTGACGGTATGTTGTGTAAACAAGATGTAGGAGCCTTGACCCTGAATGTTAGCTTATGGCATTAGATTTTCAGGTAAGTCCCCCTTCTCTCCCTCTTATTATTCTTTATTCCATAGGTCATCATGTTTGTATGGCAGCGAAGCATCATTTCAAATGGATGATGTACTGCTGTTGATGATGATGAAAGGTGCTTCGCAGAAAGTATATCAGAGTTCACATGGACGGACAACAAGTACGTCTTCAGTTGGATACAGCCTCGGAAATCACAATTATCGCCCGCAAAACTTGGTAGTATATTGGTGCTCCGGCAATTAGCCGAACGAAAAATGTCGCAGTTAATGCTTCTGGACGTCAGCTTAATCTCATGGGTAAGTTGTAGTGAGAAATTGTTTTTGGCGCTGATCGGACAAACGGCATCGTGTGCATTATGGAGCACTCACATTTGAATCTGATCAGACTTGACTGGATGCAAAAGCTCTGTCTGTTCGACATTCCCTTGAGTCAAGTCTGCAATAACCTCTAGCTCGGACATACAAGATCCTCTTCGGAAGTGGATGAATTAAACAATAAGCTGATCGAACAGCTAAGAAGAAAATTCCCGTCTGTGTTTCGCGACGAGTTGGGAAGGTGCACAAGTATCAAAGCAAGCCTTATTCTCAAGAACGGTGCCAAGATGGCATTCCGACCCAAAAGACCGGTACTATACACCGCGCTTCCGACTGTTGATGCGGAACATCATCGTCTGGAGCGAACCGGCGTCATCCAACCTGTGAACTATTCAGCAAGGGCAGCACCTAGTGTTGTCGTCAATAAGACTAATGGAACCGTTCGTATCTGTGCTGACTACTCTACGGGATTGAATGTTGCTTTAAAAATGCGCCAGTATCTTTGACCAATCACAGAAAATTTATTTGCTAAGCTCAGTGGTGACGCTTACTTTGCAAAGCTAGTTTTATCAGATGAGTATTTTCAAAATGAAGTCGACGATAGTTCAAAGGAGTTGCAGACAATCAATACGCATCAAGGTCTTTAGCAGTTCAACGGATTACCGTTTGGTATCAAATCATCTCCCGCGATTTTTCAACAAATTATGGATATGATATTAGCTGTTATCAAGGGTCGCAGTTTATTTGGACGACACTAATCAAAGGGTCTAACTATCGAGAGCTGACGAAAGACTGGAAGCAGTTCTCAACCGCGTGAATGACTACGGATTCCATATGAAAACAGAAAAGTGCAATACCGAAACGAGGTAGGTAAAGTATCCTGGCTTCATCACCGACAAGGATGGCTATCGTCCGGATCCTTCCACTATTAGCGACATCAGACAGATGCCTACCCCCGACAATGTCTCGAAGCTCAGATCACTCTTTGGGTTGATCAGTCAGTACAGCTCTTTTTCGCCTGCAATGCATCAGCTACGAGGACCGCTGAAATTAACTTATGGTAAAGGATCGAAAATTTGTACGTTCTTTTTAGTGTCAAGCCGCTTTTGATGATGTCCAGTGTATATGGTGTTCTGACCTATTGCTAACACATTTCGATCCGGAGCTGGAAATCGTGGTTGCTGTTAACGCGTCAGACTACGGAATTGGAGCGGTCATATCCCACATTTCCCTCATTGGTTAGGAGAAAGCCGTGGCACATGCAGCCAAAATCACTCAGCTCAGCGGAAACTATGGGCAGATCGAGAAAGAAGCTTTGGCTGTAGTGTTTGCGGTTAAGCGATTTCACAAAGTGCTATATGAACAAAAATTCATGCTGTTCACAAACGATTGGTTGCAATCTTTGAAAAAGTGGCATTCGGGTCTGCACGACTAGTCGTCTCCAACGCTGGGAAACGATTCTACTTGGTTATGAGTTCGTCGTCAAATATCAATCTACACACATGTTAGGCGGATGCGTTATCTCCTTTAAATGGTACACAGCATAAAATCTCCGTAGAACCCCAAGTAAAGCAAGTTGTTTCTGTTTTAGGTGTCTTATCAGTAACGTTAGAAATGGTGCAGGAAGAGATTCGTCATGATTCGACCCTACAATAAGAGATCAATTTCCACCTCAAGGACTGGCCTAAGAGAGTTACAACGCCGGAGCTTCAATAATTCCACCAACGGAAGGAAGCACTGTCAGTCGTCAACAACGGTCTACTGTTCTCAGATCGCATCGTCATTCCTGTCATCCTTCAAGAGAGAATCCTCCGACAATTTTATACTGGTCACCAAGGAATGAGTGGCATGAAATCGCTGATACGAAGCTATGTGTATTGGCCTTATATGAATTCCCAGATCGAGTATTTAACGAAGAATTGTCCCCCATGTGCCAGTGTCGCCAAACAGCCAAGGAAGACGAAATTGCAACCCTGACCAATACCTACGGAACCGTGGTCTAGGGGTACACATCGATTTCGAGCGTCAATTGACGATCATCATATTCTCATCGTTGGCGATGCCAACAGTAAATGACCTGAGGTGATTCCAATGGTGAAAACTACCGCAGGGGCCATTGTCTATGCACTTCGACAGGTATTTTCTCGTTTCGGTGTTCCTCATACATTGGTTTCGGATAATGGTACTCGGTTCACCTCCTCTGAATTTGGATGTACACATGAATTTATTGACTTCTGTCGCAGAACGGCGATCGTCCATGTAAGGTCTCCACCCACAATCAAACGGGCAAGCAGAACACTTTGTGGATACACTCAAAAGAGCCTTAATAAAAATGAAGGGATAAGGTACGTTGGCGGAGATTCTTGACACATTACTTCTGACTTATCGCACAACTCCAAATCCGCAGACATCGAACGCACTATCCCCGGCTGAAACACTTTTTCAAAGGAAAATCCGTGTGCTGCATAATGTCCTCAGACCCAGGAAGGAACAATTAATGTCCTGCAACTTTCGGATAGAACATCAAGTCAACATTCGACACGGTGCTTAAAAACGAGCCATTCATGTTGGCCAACAAGTTTTGGCGAGAGATTATCGCATCTACTATCCCATATGGAACATGGGCCGTGTGCTACACAAACGTGGTAACATGATTTACGGTATTCAGGTGGGGATGGCAATTTAGGTGAGACATGCCAATCAGATGTTGGGGGCAGGGACTGACGAAGAACAAGTACCAGTAGCGCAATTACCTCTGGACATATTGGTCAACACAGGTGAAGCGGAAACTCCCCAACACATCAACCACCTAATTAGCTCCGGAGCCTAACAGCAAAGAGGCCGAAACGGTGACGCAAATTCGTACCATCCATGCAGCTCAAGTCAAAGCTGAAATCATGCAACACAACTCCATGGGGGGAAGTGTACGGAGGGAAACTCTAAGCGCACAACCGTGGCGCCCATCGCCATTACGGAGCTAACGTATGTCAGGCGAGCCGAACCCGCCCGCTTGGATTGGGGCGAACAGATGGCCAACCGGCCAATTCAAGTGAAGGTGGCATTATTTGATTGGCCGTAAGTTACAATTCTGGAGTTTTCCACGTGAGCTTTAAATACCATACACGAACTATCATTTTATTTTGTAATGAACGGCATGATTAAGTAATACTACCCTATTCCTCTGCTCGTCCGATGCGGCCTTCTCTTTCTCTCCTGTGGGGAGCAAGCGAGCTCGAGTTCCGATTGATAATCCACCGTCAATTCAGGCGAGGGATGATCACTTCATAACCCGAATCCCGGCAGATGTTGAGCACAAGGAAAAAGGAACCTTTCCGCCTAGTGCGGCATTTGAGTTAAGCAACAACCGTAATTCTTTGTCCCAAAGTAAATTTAAGTCTAGGCGGGAATCTGGTAGGTAAGTGGTGCATCAAAACCTTCAAAATTGACCACCCCATATCCTGACCAATTCTCTAAGTTGAGCGTCTTATTTTTCCTTGACTGAACGTCCACCACCAAAAGGATCCAGACCCCTGTACCTTGACCACCTCTCTATGTTGACTGTTTTGGTCCTGTCCCTTGAGTTGTCAACTTAGGGAGATTTTATTGTGTCATTATTGGGTAATGGATTACTGTTTTACTGCATTTGTATTCCTGTTTCACCAGGTAGACCACTATTCCTGAGTTATTTTTATCTTTGATTAATCGACAGCCCCTTATCTAACAGACGTTTCCAAGCCTATGACCAGCATCACTTTTACAAAGTGCTGCTATTAAAGAGACATAAAGCGTTGAGGTACTGGTGAGCGGACGAAGCACTGCTACCCATTGAGGTCTAGAACTGAACCCCCAAATGAAAGTGCTTACACCACAAGAAATGTTTCTTTGTAAACCGTTATCCGATGAGGGGAAGCATGCGAACAAGTGAAGGATCATTTGTCCACCTATCAATCTGCAGGCTCTCCACTTACAATCAGCAACCCACTGATTAAAACCGTCTTGCCACAGGCATGTGAAGCATGCACAAGATATACCTGGCACCTGAATAACACTTTGCAAGATCCAACTTTGCGCCCTGTCGTTCAACTTCAATTGCGTGGGTTTTATGCAGTATCATAAACACGATATACCGCGCACATGTGTCCTATATGTAACAGTACGACTGCAGACAGCGAAACGAACTACCCAGTGTTGGATGCAGTTTCGCACACAACCACGAAAGCAGACTTAATTGTCCTTACAGTTAAACTGGAATGGTGCATCGAGTAAGTTGTGTTCAACCGGGTCAAGAGAAGATTGGTCGAAACAGAAGTGACACGTTTGCGCTTTTAAACTATAATCGGTTGATGCTCGGCACGACCACTAACTGCCGCAATGAGTTAATACGTTGCTTTTTAAGAGGTAAGCTTCTACGGTTGCAACCGAAACTCTGCCTCGGATATTCGATAAACCTAGACAAATCGAATTGGCAAAGTAAAAGCACGACATAGAACTTGGTAAATGGAAACAAATGTATTCAAAATACAGACAAAAGTTGCCGTGAGAGCCAAATGGGAACTGGAAGACTTCCACGACGGACTGCACGCTTGTTCACCAAGTCAGTCAGTTGCGTCGGTCGATTTATCTGAAAATATTGAATTGTAAGTAAATGTTATGAACAGTGCAACAGTTGTTGCATCCACTTACTAAGAAAGTGTTGAAGAATAACATTCGGAGTGCACCTTACCAATCGCAGATTCGCCACATTGAATAGTCTAATCTGCACAAGTATGTGAAACAGCAAAAAGTAATTACAAGATATACTCCGTTTTCGAATATGAATTTAAAGCACGGTAAAGTTGAATAAAATGGATTCGACATTACAGGTGTAATTTCTGTCAGCACATAATGGCCAGATGATAGCTATTCTTACATACAAATCCGCTTGGCAGAGTGCCACAACATATAGGTAACAACAAAAGAAAAATAGACGGTCAAAGGAAAGGATACGAAGTTCCATATGTTGTGCGCACAGAAAGCTTCCCGGTTGCCCAGGCCGAGGAGGAGGGTTGACTTAAGGCATGTGGTGTTTTCCACCTGCAGCTAACGTGTATACTGATGATGACGATGTTACTGGCCAGGTGGTTCGGGTTCCTCTCGTTCCAGCAAATGATTCGGCGGCAGTGTACCAGGACGTGGTAAGTTTTCACCTGGCAAGCGTTCTTCCTGTAAAAAGCCACAAATGTCCGTGTAACAACACTGCGATGTGGCGGATGTGACTCGCTACTAAATAAAGCCACTGCCTCTTGTCTGTCAGAGTGGTATAGTAATTCAAAGGCGTGGTAGACTCATGGTCTTTTGGAGGACCTAAAGACATAGAAACCACTTGTTTGATCACCGGCTTTCAATAGGGTGCGACGCCCTCATATCGCCCTGTTGCTTTGTAGGTTCGATCCTCAATCAAAGACTTGAGGTAAGGCTTCTTGAGACAACCCTACACTTCGGCCTGGGCAACCGGGTAGTATCATGCCCACTGACGAATAATGGATGGATTCTTCTGCTACTACTTACGCTCTTGCAACGTTCACTAAATATTCTGTCTCCATTGCTCAACCTCCACTCACAGATCGCCCCACGTCCCGTACTTCATCCACACTTATGCCCTTTTCGTTCAATGCCTACAGCAACTCACTGGTTGCACCTGATGGAAGTAAGAGTCCAACTTGGTGTTCGATGCCCATCGATCACAGACTTCTCACACCACCGAGGCACCAGCATTTCTTCGACCTGGTTCTCCTTTCAGCCTTGCAGCATTCACTGTTCGAACTATGATGCAGACCGGACGGCAAGCTTGCCTAGTCCGCATCATTGAGACACTCTCAGTAGGCATTTTCTGCTTTTAGGAAACCAGATTGCAAGACTCCAATGGAACAATGGTTTTATACAGGTAATAAAGCTAATGCTTAACAAGTCCCGTAGGATGGTTATGGTGAAACTACGAAATATACAATAATTGTTAGCAAAATTGGGTTTACACCAGTGAACTCACTGTAGTATACGTAGTATAGACTGTAAATCCATAAGAAATGACGGCAAATGGGATGTTGGCAAAAATCGTGTCTCCTTCTGTCTTACACATACAGGAGGTGAAAAATATGGAACGAAATCTGGGTTTTGAGCGACAGTGAAGCGTCTTACCCATGAGTAATGGGTCATGTAAGATGGTGCAACGAAATAAGTGCACGGTCAACTCGGGCTTTGAATTCTGCCGGCGTGAGAGCACATGTGACAGATTCCGGCAGGGCATTCCACGTATGGCAAACGCGTATGGAAAAGAAATTCGACAGCATTCCAAGCGACTGTGTTACTCTGCCAGTTTGAGATGTTGGCCTCTCATATTGTTGCTGTGGCTGAGCTCCAGCAAGTAGCGGCACGTGCGATTGGGATCTCCCAACATCTGGTAAGTCAAAATGAGGTCCCCACACAATCGGCGATACTGTCCGCTGAAAACCCCGAGCATTTGTAGTCTTCGTTCATGCAGCAAATTATACAGACCGTTGACATTCTTTGTTGCCCGGCGTTGGGGTATCTCCAAGGCGGTGAGATCTCGGACGTGGCTGCCAGACCTGTATGGTGTATTTCACATGTGGCCGTATGTACGGGCCGAGAAGTTGTGAAAACATAGAACGGTCGAATCGTCCGAATGCACGCTTCAGAAGGCCCGCGAGTTGGATGCCTCTCCTGGAAGCCGTTTCGGTCGGCTTCGAACATCCAAGGTCGTCCTGAACCAAAACTCCCAGATCCATCTCGCCAGAAGATGTTTGAAGTTTCTGGTTTCCGAGTTGCTAGGAGTGCACCAACTTTTGCCGTAGGTGCAGTACCCTACATTTATCCACATTGAATCGTAGTAGATTCTGGATTGACCACGCGTAAACCCTATCCAGATCAGGTCGAAGTACTGTGATATCATCTGTTGTATTGATCGCCCTCCACATCTCGATGTCATCGGCATAAAACAGGCAGTTCGAGCTTATAAAGGCGTGTGATATCGATAATATGCATCGAAAATAATCGCGGTCCAGGAACCGATCCTTGTGGTATTCCGCAGTCAACTCGGATGGTATCTGACAGCGATTCGCGCACACGTACTTCCAAGTGCCGGAGCAGAAGAAAGCTTCTGATCTATCCTAGGAGAGGATAACCAATACCAAAGTCTGGAGTTTGTCAAACCGGACGAATGCTTTTGAGAAGTCGAGACTACATCGACCCCTGTCCCAGAGTCTACTGTTTCAGTCCAGCTGGATAGTGCTAGTAGTATGCTTTAGGCGCACGATCGATTTCGTCGGAAGACATGCTGTTCCGGTGCGAGGTAGTTAAATTCTTCCAAGTAGGCCGTTAGCGCATCAGAAATAATAGCTTCCATGACCATTGAAAGAACCGGTAGTTGGGTGGATGGGAACGACTACCTCCCTTGTGAATGGGAGTAATCAGGGCATTCGCCGCCTCCGTCGGTGTCGGTGTGGGTTCGTCCGCCGTTTGAATAGGAGGAATTCCCCGTTTCATCTTACGTAGGCTGTTGACCTGTTGATAAAGAAGCTTGTGATTCGAGGCCATACGCACTGCCAACTTTGGCAGGTACGCCATTCTATCCTCCTGAACAAGCTGAGTACAGTGGTTACGTTGGGTCGAAAAGGCCATCCAGTTCTAGGTGCTCGGGCAGAGGTTGTAGATATGCCAGGCTGAGTTTCGCACCGTTATATACTTGCGAGTCCTGCTACGCAGAAACATGACGTTTCTCGGGAAGGTCTTAGTCGCTGACGCTTTGGAAACAAGAGAGTTAAACTGGCTGACGAGATGTTCCCATGCAGGCGCCTCAATTGTTTGAAAGTTTCAGCTGTCTGTCTCACCTAGTCGAGCTAATTTATCGTAGCGTATAATCGTTTTTGTTGCGTCCGCCATTTCCACAGGATATTCAACATAGCAAATTTAGTCGAAAAGTAGTACCGCATTGTCGCTGCGGCCCAAAAGGACGTCGACGATCACCCTTTCGACCATTAGTTCTTTGTTGGTGAATATCCGATTCAGATTTGAAGGCTTAGCTTTTTCTCGGAATCGGGTGGGAGTGTTGATGTGGCCATACAGCGCGTAACTGGAGACAAACTCCTGCAAACAAGCCTTAAACTCTTCTCCGGGAGCTGCTTAGGATTCCAGAGCGTGGATGTTGAAATCGCCAGTAATGACTGTAACTTGTGTTTCTCGCCCTCCTTAGGACGGATGCCAGCTGGAAGTCTATATCAGGGCGTGGAGAAGGGCGGTAAATGACCGCCATCAAGCAGGTGTCCGCATTTTTTAAACGTAGACGGCACCAAAGGGAACCTTGCGCCGTGCTGACCGGATCCTCCATGAGCTCACATTGAAAGTCATTGCGGAAGTACAGAGCCACCCTTCCACCTTTGCTGAGTCGGTACTTCCGAACAATGGACATGCCTAGCAGTGCGAGCTCGATGTCACTTATATCAGGGCGTAACCATGTTTCCGTTATGGAGATAAAATCGCAAGCTTTTGATATTTGACACAGCCGCATTTCGGAAAGTTTACTCATAAAGCCTTAAGCGTTGATGTACATACAGGAAAGCTTCTCGGATTTTAAAAGCTGTTGACTAGGAGCACATCAATGATGTGGATTTGTGCCGAAAGATGAGAGGATGGCAACTAATCGTTTTTTGAGTGAATTGTCAAATTTCGATAGGAATGCAATCTGTTTTTGGTCTCATTTGCACCTGCGGTATGTAGTCCATCGGCAGACTTCTCGATAGCTACGGGTCTTAGCCCACAGATTTCTGAATCGCTGTTGTAGTTATATCGAATCGCGGGTGGTGTCGTTTCCGCGTGAACAGCGAGCGGTTGCGGCTCTCTAACTGCTGTCTTCAGTCGCAGTTCCGAAGGAAGTGTGTTGCGTAGTAACTGCCAGCTACGGATTAAGTTCACGGCCATCTGCTGTGACTGTACCTTTAGTTTCAGTATCCTCGGGTCACTGCCTATGTAGTTTGGCGATACGCGTAACCGTGTAATCTACTGAAGTATGACGTCGCCTGCACAGAGAGCTTCACGGATGTAACGCCATTCGTCCAGGTCATGAGCGTGGGTTTCTTTGTTGCTGATTGTCGGTAGCTCGGGCACGCCATGAACGAAAATAATCCTTTTGCTACTCACCGTGTGGTGGTCTTTTGAATTATTTTTGTCCCGCTGGCATTCGCTCCATGGAACATCCGGAAATATGAATATTCCACCGTTTTCAGTCCGCAGGCGTTATGCCGACAAAACAATCGTATCGACATCATTTATTGATCCCAATGTTACTCGCATTAGCCGGGGTTCCCCATAATGATTCGAAGTTGGATGTCTAGTGATGAGCAATATATCAATCGGACTGGCTTGAACTCCGATTTTATCACAAAGGAAATTCCATTGCTTTAAATCGTCCAGCTGCTTACAGCTTAAGGATTTTGCCTTCGACTCAGGAACGTTGGTGCATATAAATGTCAAAGCCCAGTAGTTTCGACTGGTCTTCGGTAATGTGGGAAGTACGGTTATCGAAGGATTTAGTGATGTGACTGCAGGTTGCACCTGGTGCTTGACCCGTTTTGTGGTTGTACTGGGTGAGGCTACTGAGGTCGCACTTTGATTATACCTAGCAGCAACGGATGCATAGGTCTGTAGAGCGCTTCGGATTCAGTTCGTCAATCGGAAGGGTGGGTGTTACGGATGTTGCATCAGTCGATACATTGGATAAGAGGATGTGGGCGGTGGAGCTAGGCATGCTTCTATCGGTCGCGATGACAACTTGGTTCGTGGTTCCCAAGGTTTCTAATACTGCGTGGCCATTTGAACGCCTTGCCCTTTTCCTTGTTTTCAAAGCAGCGATTGAGGGAGACGGATGAAGTGTAAGATGCGCTATTGTCGCTTCGAAAGAAGCAATTGTTTGCATTCAAACGATGTTCAGTTTCGGCGACTACACTGTCGTACTTCTGTGTTAACGCTTGTACGCGTTTTACTGGTGGAACTCTCGTGCACTTCGGACATAACCAAAGCGAACCCAAGGTATTTTATTTTTTATGTCGGTTCTACAGACGTTGACGCATTTCGAATGGTACCGGTCTTGGCAATTTGTACAAGTCAACCTTCCTTTTACCACCTTAGCACAAGTTTGATTAGCACAAAATACTTCGTTTCGGGTTACCGTTGTGGTGTACCATCAGAATGAACTTTCCGGCAAACCCTGACATCAAAAACCATTTGCGCCCTACCGGGGACCCAAAGGCTGCCGCTTCTGGCCAGGCTGGTGTTGGCGTTGCACTGAGTGACAGGTCTGTGACTGCTCTGCTTGACTGGATCCTAGTCAACAGTCGACTATGTGCAGTCAAATTACGAGGTTCATGTAAGTTAGATAAGTATCGAGATGTTAAGCGTACCTCATTTGTCGTCACCGCCTACACTCTTGCAAACTGCAGCCCAGATGTAGTCAAGGATTGCTTCTACGAACAACTGCATGACCTCCTGCGTTCCTCAAAGAGGTCTGCAATTCTTGCATGAAACTTAAACCCCCGAGCGAGCCGTTTGCCACTAAGCAAGGAATATCTTGAAGATAGTTTTGGTTTCGGTAGTAGTCGATCGGACAATGGGGACAGATTGCGACTCAGATTGCTGTGCACGGAAAATGACAATATACTAGTAGTCTGTAGCCCCGTTCTCCAAAAAACAACGAGACAGATCAGATAGACCGACCAAGCCAAATGCAAGCCTTATGACGATTGTGAGTCTCTGGCAAAGGTGGCGGAGAAGGTAATGGAATGAGATCCAATCCATGCACTATCGGTAAAGAGGGAAACACAACTTGTTCCCACCTGCATTATGATTCACGATTTGACTACAGAATATTAGGTAGGCTGAAAGCAAATAGTTTGAAGACAATAAAAAGAAGACGACCCATCGGTGGTTGATGCGAGAAATGAGAGCGCCTTTCCTAATAATCGTGATTCCCACTGAACCAACAATGGACAAAAGCATATTCTCCTCAAATCAAAACCTTGATTGATGATTACCATACCGCCGCCCTTGAAGAGCTCCAAAGCTATTACTGTCAGCAGGGATGCTTCCATCGATACAAAAGAAAGCTTAAATACCACTATAAATTGCGCACTCACTCGAATGGACAGATTTGAGGTGATTTCGCAATTTGCTCGTTTCAGCAAACGAGCAACCACAATGCTCACACGTATATGGTCGTTGCTCTGGAGATGGAAACCAGGACGGATTAGTTACAGAAGAAGCACACAGATAAAACTGGCATAGAATAGCGAAGTATGGGTTAGAATAGCTGTGCACCTAAGTTGCAGGATGAAAGCCAAGCAAAAAGGGCTTAGAATGTACTAGGATCTCTTAAAAAGAAAATGAGTGCGAAGTGCCCACCAGTAATGGTGACTGCACTCATATAGTATGTACGAGAGGAAGTGTCCAACATTCCCGTTCGACAGGGTTATTGAAGAGCATTGTGTATGAAAATGATTCACTGGAACCACACCACCATTCAAAGAACGAACGCAACAACGCAACCGGAGCAGCATGCTTAGTACAGCTTAGACTGCTCACCTCGCGTCCGACTGGGAAATATGTTCCCCGCTCGGACCCAGCCTTTAAATCCAAACGGCTATCCAGTTTAATCCGTCCATCTTTGTCTCCATCTACCTCTGAATTACTATCACAGCTTTTAGTATTCATCACTACCTGAGCAGTAGTGCTTTGTCGTCGCCTTATGTATTCATCACAATGCATGGCTTCCTATTCGCCCATTCCTCTACAGTGTCATCGCAAACACACTCTACTTTATAAAGAGCAATCTACCCAAACGGAGCTCGGACGAACCTACATCAGCACCGCGCGTATATTCCGACTCCATACAGAAACGGGCTAGGCCCGAGATATTTCCACTTACCGTCGGCTCAGTTGGTAGTACACCATCTCCGCAACCGCGGCATCGTTCGAGTCCACATCCGGCCCTTCGATATGCCTTGCAACTGGTCATGTTATGGTGAAGTTGGAAGCGAAATATTGATCGATGCAAACATTTGCGTAGCTGGCGTTGACCAGAGTTGCGTCAGTCAACGGATGACGAGAAGGTTGGTCTAGCACACCCGCACCCATCACGGTAGCGCCCTCGATAACAGCCACATCAGCAGATAAATTTTGGGTGTTACTTGCTCGAAAACATTGAGCAATACGACGCTTCCGAATGTATTTGATCTTGTCAAGCAGAGACTGCAAATGTCGAACCCAGGCCATTAGAATGTTAACCAAAAACTTTACCGGTTAGCCACTGAGTTACATTGAGATGGCGCGTCGCAATTCATTCACACAGAGAGCGTTTCAATACTGACCCTTAAGCCTCATGAGAATTAAGTGTCAGTACTGTGGAAAATCCGATGGTAAACCAACGTTGCCCCTTGCCTTCAACGGCGACTATATCACCTGACTAATCCAAAAGAGCTTGCCGTTAACTTGAAACGCTGGTAGCTCTGTTAATCTGCTTCTCATCTCCCGTGCACCCTAGAACGTGACGCTCATATCAAATCGAGCAAAGACGCCTTGGTATCCCACATTGCGATAACTGCAGCATGCCCGTCCGACAGGCCTGATGTGCACAACAGCAAGAGGTCCATCAAGGAACAAAAGCACACTGGGTCGCACGGAGAATTTGTGCGACCGCCATCCAAAGTGAGTGATATTTAGTCGCCCACCGCGAGTTAGATGTGATAGTTCCAGTTGTGAAGGTGGAGTACTAGAGTTCACTGACAAATGCAAACATAGTCAGAATTCGCAACCAACAACAACCGTGATGAAAAGACTGAACGGCTAGTCAACCACCTCGCAGAAGTCCACGAATGCAGCACTGAATGACAAAGCAATATGAAGTGCACGATGTGTGTTGCCAGAGCGAATACTCCGAGCACTGTTAAAGCTGTCTCTCGTGCTAGCTGTGCTGAGAGTGCATAAAATGCCCACAACTACTCCTAGGAAAATACCTTGGTGAGTTGCTGAAGACACCAGATGCACGCTAGCAATTTGTAACGATGAATCGGCCTTAGGCAACGGCAATAACTTAAACGGAGCAAGCGGCAAGTAAACCTGATGAACCCATGAAAATCGCAGAAACCGTGTTGACTAAGCCCTTAGCAGAGACAAATAGATAGGAAATACGGCGTAGAATTACTATGAATAAAGACACTTTCGTGATGAAACAACCCGAGAGCGCAGTGCGTCATACGGAGGCGAAAGATATCTGTCGATGACCGAATTTTGCTTCCTTGGAGTGATGTGTACGAAACAGACCAACGGTCGATATTGCGTAGCGAGTACAAAACTGCATACCCAGAGAGCTGTAACCGACGGGTGGTTCCTTCCAACTGCCCATATAAGCTGGATAAAAGTTGAAATAGTTGAGAGAACAGCCTGTCTCTAGACTCAGAATCCGGTCTTCCGAGAAGAATATATGGCGAACAACGGTGGATCATTGAAATGATTATCATACGATGTAGCTGTCATCTAACACACAGATAGATTCTTGAGTTGCATCCATAAGCAGCCAAAGCCACTTCTGTGCATTAGAACAAGCGGTTCAGCACGATTCGGTTGTAAAAGTAAACAATTGTGATGGAGATTAGATCGGAGTCAAGTGGTGTCAATTTAACAAGTAGAGTTACACACGGAGCCAACTGTTCAGCGAGCATTCCAACAGCTGTCAAGTTTGTTTATGCGGTGCAATCTGATCGTTCTGAATGACTAACACCTAACAAGTGTTGGGTCCCTGTTTATAAAGTTCTTTTCATGAGGATAAGTTTCTTCTCCTTAACAAGGACGTACCATTTCTCTCCATATTGACATCACGCGGGCTTACCACCATATTCATAACAACCCTGGTTGTACTCATAAGACAGCTAATGACGACTCCATTTGGCATTCCCGGTTTGATTTACACAATACTGCAGAGCGATTCCAACATTTCATTGGTCAAGCAATTTCAGCCCTACTATTTGTATTTATCTGCGTGACATTTTGGATGCGAGTGTTAACGAGGATGAACAACTGGGGCATTCGCCGCTTTCGAGATCTCCTGGAATAGAAATCACACTGGTTACGGATCACAAGCCTCTGACTTTTGCACTACGAGCTACACCAGATAAATGCTTCCTTCGTGAAGCACATTAACTGGAATTTATTTAACAGTACACCGCCGATATCGACCATACTTTTGGACGAGGTAATACTGTAGCTGAAAAGCTGTCACGCTCACAAGCTGAATCCGCAAACAAGTTCCCATATTGACCTAGTACATATGGCGCACAAGCAAGAAGACAACCCACTTCAGGCGAAATGAATTAAAATCAGCTTACGGGGCAGGTATAATCAGTAACTGCATACTACATTAGCTAAGATAGACTGCGATGTTTTCACATTAGTCGTTCGACCATCTGTTGCTGCACTCATAGGATGCACCATTTCCGAAGTTCCTCATCACGTATCGCATCCAGACATATCTGCAATAGTGAAGTTGATCCCTGACGCGTTGCATGGCCGGACCTGAACAGACATCTTCACATGGGCAAGCGCATACTTAGCATGTCGAGATTTGAAGTCATTCGGCATACCTAATAATAATAGTAATAATAGTAATAATCAGTATATTTATCCTGATGCAAGAAAATGTCTGTGTACAAGAGTTGCACGCCGGAACTATCGCACAGTAAAACAGCAGATATCGATGGACTCCTACCATATTCCAGTGCTGATTCGTGTATCTTGACACGCAGCGATGGTTCCACTCGATGACCCGGAGCCATTCAGATTGCAGACACACATGCAAAAACCATCGGCCGTGCATTTGTCACGGTGGATAGGCGTTTGCGTATTCCTTCCTACATCACCAGTGACCGCAGCTTCTAATACGGATTCCAGATTGTATAACAGTTGATGGAACTACTGATCCGCTAAGGGGTTCGCACTGTAGCTTATCAGCTCCAAGCAAACGATTTAGTCGCATGAGTTCATCATCACCTAGAAACCGCAACAAAGGTGCACTCCGAACAGACTCATTGGATGCCATCATCCTCAGTACAAATTAACTGAAGGTGATAAACACACTTCAGCTAATGTGCCGCGATGCAAAAAAGATAAGATATAAAAACGAGTGATAAAACACAAAATACAATACATAATCAAGAAGCAATATGATGCTATGTCATATGAAGCATAACGAGTGAGAATGTGGTTGAGAAGGGTGATAGGCGGTAGGAGAAAGGACAAGAAACACACAGCAAAAACACCAGGGAGACCTGCTCTTCGCCAGATCAATTAGTGTATCCAACCTACGGTGTTCATCGTCCGTTGGACCCCGGTCCGGCAGTCAGGAGAGATCAGCCGACGACAGCTACGTTGTGAGGGTTTTGACCAAGTCATCGCTTGGCCTTACCTCCTCTATCTACATCCGTGCAAGTAACGCACGACGCGGGAGTCGGTGTGCTGACATGCGCAACACGTGGATCAGCCATGGAAGCCTGGTGCATGAAAAACAGCGCTGAGTGGTTCACTTGTTTTTCCTGCACCAAAAATGCGACGTCGAACATGATCATTGCTCACGCAATGTTCCCACCAGATTTGAGTCAAACTGCGAAGGCACCAGTGGTGGAACGCAACTAGCATCTTTGTCTGGCGATCTAATGGGCCAGGTTTCGCATCCGAACAAGAGGGTTGAACGGAAGGCCGTTAACTCTGCACACTTTAGGGCGAGTGATGATTCCGATGAGTTCGTTTCAGTTGCGTGCACTATTTCCATCAAGTTCGCAGTGTTCAAGCGCAAAACTGGTTTTGAAATCAAATCACGCATGTATGGTCAATTCGCTCCATCAGCAGTCAACGGTGACACTGACATGTTAACCAGATTGAAGAATCGCATGAGCCAACCCCATCATTGCGCAACCACGAGTACGATGGAATTATCATACGTTCAATCAGCTTCTCTGCGTGCGCGCATGTTTTATTCGCAATGGCCGTGTGAAATAATCACCACAAACACCACTCCTTGTTTCATGCTACCAGATAAGACCTCAACTGAGATGACCAAAAAGCCACCAACGTTCGAAATGACTTGGAATATTGGTAGTTCGGGAGGCTTGCTCAGTTGTTGTGGAGTTCTCCGAGCTGGGCAACTTGATTGCAGACGTTTCGCCACCATTCGAGG